ATCCTGCGGCAACCCAGGCGTACACTAGGCATGGGAGAAAAACAGAAGTCGTGGTGTGTACCATTCTCAATCTCGACATGGCTTTTTCACCAGCTAGAGTTATTGGCCGACTTCTCGCCTCTTTCACGCCTGATTTTTCTCCTCCAACGAGAAAGGAGATCGCAATTGCCCACGCGTTCAGAAGAATTCTTCAGGGCACAGAAAATGACGACGTCGAATATTAGGAACAAAAAGAGTCGCTTCAGGTAAATTTTACATGGGTTATTGGAATTAAGGCAGATTCTGCATTGCAACAGTCTATAGGCATTTTTGGACGAAAAAGAGGTCAGCTGAACTTTAGACGATAACGACGATGACCGTAGCAGCACTGAAATTCCAGCACACAGGAGCATTTTCTTTGACGGCAGACCCATTTCTCAAGACAGTGTTAGTTTTAGCACTACCTAACAAAAGCTCAATGTGAATTGCTGTATCTTGACAGATTCGCCATTGCCTACTACCGTGATACGGTCAAGGGTACCCGCTCTTTAGCGCCATGACGGACCGGTTCAAGGATCAGAACTGAACGGCATATAATTTTGGTCCGTGAAATCGAAAAAAGAGGTGTCCGGCGCCAGTTGCTTCAAAAATTAAACTGATGAATGAGCGTAGGTCTGTTAGCTTCCCATTTTTCAATCCAGGAATGGTTGAAGAATCGAGGGTGCTTATTTTCAAAGCCTCTCTGCTCTTCTTCGAGAAACAGTGTTGGAAGCAGCCGAGCAATGATTGAAGGATCGAAGGTGCTTATTTTGAAAGCCTCCTTGCTCTTCTTCGAGAAAGAGTGTTGGAAGCAGTCGAGCAAGGTATGTCCCGAATGTCCGAGCTGGAAAGCAATTTGCACGTTGACAAAAAGCGTCAAATTACATGAGTCAATATTAGTAAAAATCGACTTGTAGAGGCTATCGCAGGCCCTATCCCTGGCGCAATATGGAGCCAATCTGGAGGTGGCAGTACAAAATGCAAAAACGGCAGCGATCCGAACCATCAACCCAGCTTGGTCGTCCCAACTAGAAGTCCATGTCGCTATCCACTACACCATCCGTCGCTGCCAGCAGCTCAACCGTGGACAGCTAATATGAAACTTCCCCGCACTTTTCAACATCTTTCAACATGTGGCTCGACAACATACATTATTCTCAATGCGGAGTCCATTGGCGCCTTCTACTGTGCGGACAGGCGACGCCACGAATGAAACAAACGACGGTTATTGGGTTGAAACGACAATTCACGACTAAATCATTTTCACTCTTTTTTTGGGCATTCAGAAGGCCATTTGCGGAAATGGACCACGTTCTGTACTCAGGGCTCATGCCCCTACACCATGCAAAAATCCTTTTCAAAAAGCGTCCCACGCCCTGAAAGACCCCCTTGTAAGAACCGGCAGTGCAGAGAAGCGCAGATTGCTGGCCAACGACGTTGGTTCGGCGTTTGCAAACGTTGCTCACTACGGACCAAATCCTCTACATGCCCCCAAAATTGGGTGCAGACATGGAGTGAGAGCACTACCTCTTCGGCCGGTCGCACACCTTACAAAGGATGGATGTCAGGTCGCAGTGTCCATTCAATATGAGATGTATACCGGTCGTTGGGACTTCCAAATGGTGATCTCAAATCTGGGTTCCAAATTTGCGAAACGATTCTGGGAACAAATTTACAGGTCCATTTTCTTCAGGTGTCATGCCACTGCTTTGCTTTTATAAACGAACTGAGCACCTAGCCAAATGTACAGGGATGGCGTAGTAGGGAGGACGATGGATTGTTAGGCGTGTCACGAGGGTTCGAATCTTCGGTGCATGCTCTTGTTTAGCTTTCCTACAAAACCTTTCCTTTCCTATTCTGAATTTTTTCACCTATCATACAGATTACCTACAGCCGTCCTTCATACTTAAAGGCACAGTTTACGATAATTTTGGGTTAGTCATATAATGGCGCAAAATTGATTTTATTTTTTTATTTAGCAATACGTTGCATAAGACAACGTTAGCAACCGCCCACCAAATACCAGCAACACTAGAGAATGAAGTAATAACAGCAATTTGATTAGAAATGGAAACGTGGTACCAACTATGCCTTCTTTTGAACGCCCGATAGCCTGAGAAGCAGTTGAATTTACTGAAATGCAGGTATGAAAGACCTGCCTTGACAGTGACAAAAGTGCGCCTGATGGCGGTTTTAGGTCTGGGAAAAGATAATTCGAGCTGACCAACCCTGGTGATAGATGGAATGAGGCTGTAAAACTGAGAAATATTGACCGCGTATCTCTCGCGGAGGAGATTATGAATCATACATAAGTCAAAGAAAGTTCGGCTGGACTGAAGAGAAGGAAGATCATAGTACTTGTTCCGTATTTCGGCTTTTGGTATTCTTGAATAAAGAAATCCACCGCGACGAATCTGGATTTTTCTGGTGAAATCATTTTGGACTTTCTCGGTTGGAGCAATGTATTTCTTTTCATGAGGGCAGAATACCACGGTCCCACTCTCCACTAATGGACGGATGTAAGTTTGGTAAAGCAAGATGAGTGTTCTAGAGTCTTTGGTTGTCAGAGCTTTGAAGACATGATAGCTTCTATGGTACACCTTTTTGCAGATTAGATAACAATTTGACAAGAAGTCAAGCTTATCCTTGTATAGTAACCCTATGTTCTTAAGTTCATTCTCCTTAGAAATCTCCTTAAAATCCATGAAGTAAGCGGACAAGCCAGGAGGACCCAAGTGCATGTGACAGGATTTGGTATAGGACTTGCCAACCTGTGGACCACTGTGCGAGACTGTTGACGGAAGACTGTAGGGAGTGGGAGTTCAGAGGAGAGTCAATAACTGTGTGAAATTTCAGATCATCAGCATACTGTTTATACACAACGCCGTACTGAGAGCACATCATGGGCTAGTCCGCAGAATATATATTGAAAAGTATGGGGGATAAGACCCCTCCTTGATTAGCCCGCTCTTTGCACGAGGACTTTCAAAAGAGTTGTTTATGCGAACTTGATAACTACGCTCGCTGAGGTATTCCTCTATCCACTTGTACACTTTCCCATGGAAACCGAACTTACGAATTTTATAGACCAGTTTTTTATGACTGACTTCATCAAAGGCTTTGGTAAAGTCAAAGTAGATTCTAGTAGATTCTTCGTATTATCTAAAGCTTCTGTCCAGTCATTAAGTGATTCGAGTGTATTCGTAACTACAGCCCTTCCTGTTACAAAACCATGTTGTGAATCAGGAATCAATTTGTTCTCTGCAAAATGTCCAAGATATGCTTTTTTAGCAGCTTCTCAAACACCCTACAAAAAATGGATGTAATGCTGATGGGTCTGTAATTAGAAACATCAGACGAGGGCGCTTATTTTAAGATGGGTGTGATGTACGAGTGCTTTCACAAACTAGGAACTTGAGAAAACATCATGGACCGATTAAATAAATAGGACAAGGAAAAAACTATAGCGTGAGCTATATTCTTGTTGAACTCGATCGGCAAATGGTCAAGTGTAATCGACGATGAACAGGACAACTTGCTCAGAAGCTCATAGCTATCATCTGCATGAAAATGAGGAAAAAGTCCGCATCTGCTTTGAAATGTAAGACGAGAATGGAGGAGATCGTTGTCATCTTGGAACACTTTGCTAAACTCAGCCGTCAAGGCATTAGCCTTATCGAAATCGTTCGTTAGGAGTCTACCTTGCAATTTCAGATCCGTGAATAAAGATTTGCTTTTGAGTTTAGACCTCATGAACTTGAAAAATCGATGCTTCCTACTGGATTCTTTGATCTTCTTTTCAATACTGCTATTGAGTTTGATGAGCTTGTTTGATAATTTGTCTGAGAAAGCTCTGTGCTCGGTCCAATCACCGGTCCGTTTAGCATACTGGAAGAGGCAATCCTTGTGGTTCATCATGTTTTGTAGATAGGCTGGGAGGGCATTTCTTGTGTAACCACAAGGAACAAACAGATCTATGGTGTGCTTGAGTATAGAGAGGAACATCATGTACTTTTCATCTGCAGTGGTAACCGTCTTGAAAGAGGGAATCCATTAGATACTGCACTGGCAAACTACAAATGAGAGAGTAATTGCATTTGGCAAAAAATCTTTTGAAAACCGGAGTGCAGGGAACAGTACGTCCTGCTATACTAAAGGATACACAGAAGTGATCGCTAAGACCGATTGGTGACTTGATTGAAACACTACTTATGAGATCCTGATCATTTGAAAACAGAAGGTCAAGCAAGTTGTCACCCACAGTGGGCTGATCAAGGTATTGTTTAAATCCATGAGATGCGAAAGTATCAAAAAGGGGATGAGTGGTATCTCTGCAGCTATTCCATCGTACCCAACTGGAGTACTGAAATCGCCTATTATGAGGACCAGCATTGATACCGCAGCTAAACCGCTGACTGCTTTTCCTAATTGCTCATTCATAGTAGGAGGACATGACGGGGGCCTATTTATTAGCACAATTCTGGCGCAAGGGTCGGGGAGAGCGATGTTGGCGGCTAAAAGTTCATAACTACCGGGAACAGACTGCGACAATATGGTTGAATAATTTAAGGTTTTTTTTATATAGCTGGTACCAAGTGGTGGCTTTTCAGCCAAGTTTCAGTAAGTAAGTATAAATCATATCTCTCAGCTGCCTCAACATCAAAAAATACGCAATTCTTAGGAAAAGACCGAATATTGGTGTATAAAGCAGAAACCGTAGAAAAGAAAGACGAGATGGATTCGCAATCATTTCCAGAGCACACGATCCTATTTAGTTTTCTGCTTGGGAACTTTTCAAAAACGGTATATCTGATGCTTTTACAATTTTACCTTTTTTGACTACAAAAACTCGTTCACCGTTGTGCTGGTCACGGTTAACTTCGTGGGCACGATTCCGAAGATCACGATCGACCGATCTTTGTTCGGGAGTCATCGATTTTCTTATAAGCACGCTAGAAAATTCCGACGAAGAACGCAACTGTTTAGTTTTTAGAAAGAGTTTGAAACGTAAATTTTGGGAGTAAAGACCCATTTGATCTCATTCTGGGCTTTTGGCCAACTTTGCCCATTCGGAACACCCCAATTGGTCGGATTTCGATGTCAAGAACGTCGAGAATCTTGGAAACACACCTTTCTGTAGACTGCTGTCGAAGTGATGCGGATAAGCCAGCGTCGGCTTCCGGGATACCATGAATCACGATGAAACGCTCTCGTTTCTCGGTATGAACTGCATCCAGGGATAGAGAAGATAGCTTCGTAAGCAGTTGAACTAATAGAGGAAGTGCTTCTGGGGCTTTAGCAGCTAGAATATGCTGAATATTGCTCAGTAGTTTAGCAGCATCATCGTCGAGTACAGCATTCGAGCGAATATTCGCCAGAATAGGGGACATTGGCTCTCTCTTTTTGGGCACATTGCGTGGAGGGTTAGCGGGTTGAGGGGTCGACTGGGACATTGATCACGGACCGACCGCTCTCAGTGACCGCTCGCGCAAGAACTCAATGAAAGAGAAGGTGGAGAATAGTGCGATGGAGGCGAAGAAAGCACGGGAATAGTTGTTTCAAGAGAGAAAAAACTTTAAAAGAGTCGTTAAAAAGGGCTGGACGAGAATAAGACCAGAAAAATGAAGTAGAAGAGGTGTTAGGACGAGCTATATATTGTGTGTGTGTGATCGCGTACGTATGGGTCCAGGGATGAATACTGACAACAATAAGCGAAGATGTTTTCAAAAATCCATTCAGTTATGAGCACAACTTAATAGAAACACTATTAACCGCGAAAATAGCCCTCTCCTTTCTTTCTTTCTCTTTCTTATTCATGGTTTGGGTACCAAGATAGCAACCAGGGAAAATTTGAACCTCCCATAGTGTATCGTTTCTTATCTAATCTAGACGGGAACGTGAACGTTACGGGTGCGGTGATCTTTTATTCATACGCCGCCCTCGTTATGAGGAGCTTCTCTGTTTGGAACCATTTGTGTTGGATTATCATATATGTACATTAAATGCTACCTATTTTGTCGGCAGTAACTCTTCTTAAAAACGTCAGCTGAAATGTACCAGTCCACTTCTACACATAGAGAGCTCGCCGTTTGTTGAATAGATTACCCTTCTATTCTACTAGGGACTCTTGGTTCTGCACAACCCGCAACAAGGGAGTTTCGCGTTTATTCGATAATTTATTCTACCACTAAACCGTCTCCTCTCTCGTTTAACAGAAAGACTAACCAGTAAGAATCTCACTATATTTATGAAAAGGCACAACCACTCCGCCAAAGTCAACACAGGGCATTACTTCATTCAACAAGCGCTATGGTTGGATGAGTCATACGACCGCCCTCTGTTGAAAGTGCGTGTCATCTACTAAATTTCTGACCACATCCTGAGTGCTCGAAGTAGAAGGTGTGTGCTAATTAGTCTATGGATGCAGAAAAAACATGTATACGCATTTCCAGTATTCCTTACATATATAGGAAGGGCTGTCGGTAGTCTACAGTCTGTTTATGATGCGTAAAGGGATTTTACAAGAGTTTAGGACTTTTTTGATTGAAGTCAACTCAACAATATGCTGACCTTATGTGGCTGCCACGTTACCGGACTGCCAGTTTCGGAGCAAGAACATCTTCAAAATCGAGGGTAAAAATGGGTTACGTTTCGTAAAATGCAAAATGGGATAGACAGCCCGCCGAGTTCCAGAACAGGGGCTGATTCCTCGACGAGGAAGTATGAGTGCATTACAGCTCACATTTTCGCGTCTCCTCATTTTGATGGATAGCTTCCACGAATCCTTTTCTTGGAAGTTACTTTATGAGAAGTTGAAAACCTAATGGGGTTCGGGTGTGATGCAGATTCGAGATCAGAGAAGTGAGTCTTGCCGATATGCTGGACTGCACCAATGAGAGCAGCAACAAGGTAAACCTGTGAAGGAATACCTAGTGCAATTCACCTCTCCGTCAAACATAATGATGATCACGTTTTAGTCAATAAGAAAAAATAGGTAATCACGATGAACCACCACTTTCGAGGCAGCGATTCATTCTCTAACCACTGTTTCTCTTGATGATGCTTAGGATATAGTATTAACGAGGAGCCATTTGTTGCCTTTACGAGCCGATTAGCCATTTGGTGATATCAGCGTCATTCCAAAACATCTGACACCATTTTTCATTTGACTACTACTTGTAGGCAGCACGCCTGAATACACCTAAAGAGGACACCTGAATACGGATAAGGAGGTGGAAAATACTCACTTTCCAAATGAATAGAGCCGTTATACATACTCGTTAGTTGCCTTTAGGAATCCTCAAATCACGTCATCGCTCCGTGACTTACTCGAAAAGATGTGTCTGCTCCAAGAAACCACAAGACTACTAACTGAGGGAGACTCAGAGCAAAGAAATGAATGGCTTTTGAAAACTCGTTGTTTTCGGTCATCACAGTCGACACTACTCTCGAAGCCTTTTGCTTTCTTTATTGCACAGTTTTTGCTGGATTAGCATGAGAGCTCAGCAAGCCTCACGGTGTATCTTCGTGCTATCATACACAAATATGAGCCCGTACACCATTTCAGCATATCTATGATACATCAGATGACTCATCGTGATGCCAGTGTTGTCACCTCCCTCACTCTCAAAAGTAACTGACACGAAAACTGTAACGAATTCAAAAGTATATAATACTTCGCTTATGAGACAACTTCGAGATTCGAGAGCAAAACCCACAGTCGTGGCTTTCAACGGTTTGTTTTCACCACTTCTGAGAGTTCTGGAAATGAATAGCACCACGAATGTTATCAAAGGTACCGTCCAAATCTTCCATTTTTTATTCAAGACAACATCAGTATACATTCCCATAACACGGAACATTAGAAGTCATTCAAAGACACCCGAATAGCTGATTGATGAAGCAGACGACATAGCAAGAAGAAAATTAGAGAAAATGAACAGAACTAGTTATACAATGGAATAACAATGAACATATGGCCAAGCAGTTATCTGTTTTGTATGGACTATTTCATCCTATACGAGAACGATTGGGAATGAGTTTTTATAATACTGAAGCCAGTTTGAAATCAAGTTTCGATACAGAAGAAATCGCAACCATTGCATGCTATATAGTGATCTTGTCCTAACCTTCCATTTTTTACTCACGGTACAATCTCATGACAAGGGACAAGGATAAACGATACCGCTGGCCCCAGTCGTTTGGTTTGATTCCTTGCGAGACCCTTCGAACACTGCTATTGGAAATCAATATAATCATTTTCAAACGATGCAAAAATTACACCTCAATGTAGGTAGAAAATAAAACCAAGGGACGCACGTCCAAGCAGCATACGGCTGATAGAAACGCCAAACATTAGCTAACAACAAGGGATCCTTTAGTGTAATCTCGATCACTGAGAGGTAAAAACGGCCTAGTTAGCAGATTTATTTTTCGAATTTGCCACATTTTTACCTGCATTAAGACTCTGTTCAACCGTATGTAATCCCCAATGCAATCGTAATGATGCTTGGCGATAAAAGGAGAACAAACGAGCGAACATGGGGGAGATATGATATAGCATCATCTCGTGAGATGAGCCACAAGGTTACATGTTTCCGCCGGCCAGAACATTTGCACAACTGGCAACATAGTACCGACTGATAAAGAGATGCACATGATGCAGTTCCATGCTAAACAGGCGGAATGTGTTCAACAAGATAGTAACGGCTACACAAACAGAAATTCGTCGCAATAGCGCTGAAATAAATACCGCAATTGGAGTCACAGCTTGCGTACAGTTAATGAACATACTGGTGACAGGGAAAATCATGCGAATGAGCTTAGAATGTTCATAACTAAAATACTTGCACGATACAATGCCCTTTACTTTAGACGGTTTCAACGATAGCTTTCGAATCGTCTCATTTAGTGCGATGGATGGACAGAGGGAATGTCAAGCGTCTTATCAATAGCGATTATGTTGAACGATTAATAACCCACAAAAAGAAAAATTCGTAGCCTAAAAAAGCTGTGATAGTGACTCCTTCGCAATACTGAAGAAACATCCATCCCCCTCCCGCGCAGAAAATCAAATCATTCCTCATATTGTATGTGGTTTTGTGTATAAGTCTGTGTGTGTGTGTCTCTCTGTGTGTGCTCGAGCGAAAATTCATAACTCCGCTTCCCGTGGGCCCAGAGTGTTCAAGTTCAATGGGAGCACAGGCAGCAAGATGGAAACGCTGATGATAGGTGGCAAGGCTAGACTCCGCCCACAGGGGGCAGGGCCTAGCCCTGCCACCCGACCAGGGTATGAGGAAAACATAGGCGCAGTTCCCATGCATTCCAGATTAGATCCGCGACCGTGATAACCCGAGCATACCGAATGTCAGTATATAAATGGACAGAGCATCAGGAAGCACTCCACTTTTCCTTCTCAACTCTCAAGATCCTTTTCTCATTTCTTTCAATTGTTCTAAAGCATTATAAGTATCGTGTTGAATTTAATTGATAGAGCATATCTTCGGTTTCCTCAATATTTAGATCATCAATAGAGCGTTTATTCACATTTAATATTTCAGAGCATTTATTCACATTTAGTATTCTAGAGCATTAGTCACTTAGCATATTTTACCATTGTGCTCAATAACATTGTGCTTTACTTCTTTACACTTATACTTTGATTCACTTATACTCTCAGAAAGCTTTAGTGCCTTGATCTCGTTAGTGTTGTACTGTTGGTCAATACAGTTTAATTACCCAAGTTTGAGAGTGCATCACTGAATCACACGCTCATTCAACTGATGCATCAGCCGTCGTGCAATTCAAGACAAAAACCAGAGAGCACCTAAGGAAAGCATCAGTGAAAAATCGACGTAGACCATCGAAGCAAGTGGTTAGTCTTCAAAAAATTGACCCACATTAACGCTTTTACTAACATAAAGTGTGTATAAGTGCATTGAGTCATACGGTCAGAGCATTGGGAGCACACTCAAACATCGATCCGCGCATCCTCCCCGACCCTTGTCTCAACTAACGATCAAAACATACTTCTGTACAATGTTGTCGATTCAAATGGCAACATCAGTGAGAAGGGGTTCTGACGAGACATCCAACGTTTTAGTGCAGAGTATATCGAAGTACTATGCATTGGGAGACAACATAAGTTGGAGGATGGCGAAGCATGTAGGGTTACTCTGTCCGAAATTCGAACGGCCGATGAGAAATTAAAGAACTTCGAACTAATTTCGAAGAAGCCCTTATTGGATTCACGGAGGCGGTAGATAACTCGCAGAACCGCCAACAGTGGAGGAAGAAGAAAAAATCCTAGAATACATCAGTAGTGCAGAGGATATAATCTCTGAAGTTACAAACATACTCTTGAAGTTGGAGATTACTAGAAGCCGTATAGTAAATCATAGATTCGAAGGCTTTGGCACAAACCAGCATGCCGCTGGTGGAAGCACAACAGCGA